GCAGGACGGGAGAATTCACCTCACTGTAGTTTACTTTGGAAAAGAACAAGTGAATGAAGTCAAATTGATACTTGAAAACACCTCCAAGTAAGTACCTGACTATCTGATGTATGCTGTTCATATACAGCAATCGCACCACGAACTGCAGACCAGATAGCTACCCAAACTCATAGTTGTGCCAAAAAGTTCTGAACTGCACTGGAGAAAACAGCTTTCTTGCCTTTGTATCAGATAAAAACAGTGTTACCCTGACAGTACCGTGTCTGCGGTTTTGTGATGTAGGTTTTCAGAACCAGAAAGCAGATTTTACTGATTTTTCTTCAAGGTAGCTCTTTTTTTCACACTGTTAACTTCATTAGCGCTTTTGAAAGTGGCTTTGACTGTTAGGACTGAAAATTGGCTTCCAAAGGCAGGTGCAGACAATTTCAGTACAGCACACAGGAACTAGACGCTTTTGGCCAGGTCTGGTCTGTCGTGTTTGCTTGCATAGGTGTGGTTGTCAAGACCATGTGGCAGTGTAACCTTTTGTTATCATCTCCACGTGAGAAGACCCTTGTATGCATATAATGATATGACCACAGGTATTTTATATTTGCCTACTGAAGATATTTTTGTCCATCTAAGCCTTGTTGGTATTTTTTGTGAGGTGTGACCAAAAAGTGTCTGTGACAGAAATGCTGGTGTAGGAGTACACAGTACGCTATGTAGACATAGTGGAAATCTCCTCAAGACTGAAAGAGGAAATTTATTCCCTCAAACTGCTCTCAGAACTGAGATGCTACAGGTTTCTAGGTCAATTGCTTCGTATTGTGTTCCCGCCTCGACTTGTACTGAGAGCTGGAAAGAGAGGGTAAGTTGCTGAATATTTTCCTACTCCTAGGTCAGCCAACTTCAAGAACTTTACCTTCATCCAGTTGAATGAAGAATTTTCCAGGGGCAAAGGATTAGACATTGGTGCTCGATTTTGGAAAGGAAACAATGTTGTTCTCTTTTTTTGCGATGTGGACATATACTTCACAGCTGAATTCCTGAACTCCTGTAGATTGAACACACAGCCAGGTACTGTTACTCATGAAGTGTATTGTCTTTCAACAGATTTTTACCTATTGTGTAAGAGCCTTCACCAGAGTATTCTTGCCTTTGAATTGGTAATGAAGCTGCTGTAAATCATTCTTGGGACTTAGAGAACTAATTAAGATACATATAAAAATTCCATTGCTGGTTGGCTTTTGAAAGATCATAACACTCCTGCTCTCACTGTGTTTGAATTTCTTCTGTTCAGCACCTGTGCTTTCTGGAACAGGATCTTTTTTGTTAATTATATCCTCACATTCACATTCTCATGCAAAGAACATAGGCTCAGTCCAAAACTTGTGTGATTTTGTCTGGATTTGGTCTGGCCTGATGTCGTGGGTTAGGTTGAACTGCCCCCCCC